TTATTCAAATTGTTTATAAGCGAAAAACGCACGGTTTTTTAATGCACAATTTGAGAATGTTAATGTCAAAAAAACGGTGATATTTTTTAATAGGTCGCTTAATTGCGTCTTTAAGATTACAATGACGCTTTCAGAATCATGTTTGGTTGAAAATTAACGCCTGTACAGAGGCTTAAAGTTCATAACTTTTGGAGCCTCCGTTATAAACAAATAGAATTGTGCGAAAACTATTGCACCTACAGCGCCCACTTTTGGCACACTTTTGAAGTATGACAAAACCCTCAACTTGTCATAGGTTTTATAAAATTTTAACTATAAATACGATAGTTATAAACAAATTTAAAAATGGGCACTTTTCTTGTTTTTTTGCAATAACTTTTTTGTTAATTAACCGTTTTAATTTAACAAGTCTCATTTTGTAGATATTTTTACTCCCTGTTTGGGAGTCACTTTTCGCTAAAATTGATGGTTTTCCTTGCAAAGTGAAAAAACTATTTTCCTAACTTATTTGTTTAAATAGAAAAGTTAGCTAGTAAAAGTTTTTGACTCACGAGATGAGAGATGTCTTGTATTATGTTCCTTTAGATAAGTTTACAATAATCTCACGGATAGGACTTTTTTCGAGTTTCTCTTTTATTTTTGCTAATTTTCCTGGTGTAATAATAGATATCTTAAAACGGATTTTGGACAACATCTTAGAAACTACAAATGATCGAAGACAGGTTTGCTATACATTATAAAGATAATGGCAAAAGATTTCACGTTCATGGTTTTCTTGAAAATGTTTATTAAGTTTTTAATAGCCCCACCATTTGGACATAAAACCAAACAGTTTCTGATAAAATTTACGTACAATTGCTAGATCTTAAATGAAGATAAAAAATGAAACAAAGTTTAAAGACCTAAGAATTTTGAACCTTATGTTTTTATTAATTTATCAACACTAATAAATTGTGTGTTTTTTACGTCTTTTATTTATAATCATTATTATATTAGAGCGTAATTAATCAGTGTCAGTGTAAATATCGAGTAAAATTGTCAAAATGCTCTATACTAAGTGAAAATATACTCATTACTTTAACTCAGTGGCTTCAGTCAATAAGTCACGCTAATTATTAACAGTGTAGCTTTGTCTCTAGACAACATACTACATTTTTTGCTTTACGCAAACGTTTTTGCACCGCCTAAATTAAACATTTACAGTATTACGTTACTCACATGATTGCTAAGCGGAGATTTAGACACAGTAGGGGGTAAACCCGTGGGTTGCAGCCCCCGCAATTGCTCAAGGAAAGGGAGGAACATGAGTCCTTGGGGACCCACCGCCCCACTGGCCGCATACTGCGCTGATATCTGACCCTGAATTTCTTGCAGCTTCTGCTGTTGCTGCAGGAGTTGCTCCTGTTGTCTTCTTTGTAGCTCGAGCTGTTGTTTGTGCGTGTCACTGACCAGCTGACTTGCGCTTGCAACCTGGAAGAACAATAAGAAGTTATTTTTTTCTATTGCATAGCTATTATTTAGTGTTTGACAAAAGTTTTACTTAGTGAGAAGGCACAGGCATGTACTTGTTGGTAATATAATATTTTAGAAAATTGTATCCAAATAGGTTATAGACGTCTAGAAAGAATGTCAAAGTGCTGCTTTTATTGAAGCACATAGTACCATATCCTAAAATGATAATAAACATTTTAATATGAAAATCAATTATGTGTTCCAAGTATGGTCACTACGTACAGAGTGAACAGTTTCTCAGACTTCTCAGGGCAGAGTACTTTTCGTAGTCTTCACTCCCAAAAAAAATTATAGACCTACTTTGTTAATTTTTATTGCTGTTTTTAAGATTTTTGTACTTCACTAAAAAAAATATATCTGTCCCTCATGTTTAAACATATGACTGTGTCATGACTGTATCATTGGTAATACTAAATAACCAGAAGCTTATAAAAGGACTTTTTTAACAATTTAACGTAAACACATTTTTGTCATAATTTTATTTTTGTAATTATTTATTGTGGCAACATTTTTTTCTATTATATTTCATATAGGTACTACCAGCATATCTGTGATGTACAAACCGAAGGTATATTTTTTTGTCATACGTAAAATTTACTTTAGAACTATAAAAATATAAATATACTTTACTTCCTATAGTCGATTGCTAATTTCTAGAATTTAAATATATGTTTGTATAGTTTTTGATTTGCCAAAAGACATTTAAGAATTATTGAAAATGTTGTAAAATTATGTAGGTACGTTTTTTTTATAGTATTTCATGTATTAGAAATATTGCGGATTTCTCATTTTATAACTTGCGCATTCGCCATTTTGTATAAATTGTATAAATATAATTGATAAATTGAAGCATATTTAAATTCATATAGTTATTAATATAAATTTTATACTTACACGTATATTACTTCAAGGATATCAATACATGCAAATATATCATTGTAAAATTATTGCTATGTGAAATTAAGGTCACTGCTTTTAATTTTATTCTATATTTCACTACTTTAAGAATATATAAATAAGGGATGAATAAAATTTTACTGTAAATACGATATTTAATGTTAATAATAATAGTACCTATCACAATTCAGCAGAAATTATTTATTTTTATTTGGGTATTTTATTTGGCAAATGAAAATAAGTCTGGTTTTACTCTTGTTTTTATCATTTGTCTCGAAATTTGTCTTGTTCAATACTGAACTGAACATTTTAGCAATATTATTTTTAACTTTTTCTAATATTTAGTAATATATAGATGGTGATTTTTGTAAGTACAATATCCTTTATATTTAAGAAAGAAATGGCAGATGCCCAGAATCTGAAGGTGTTATAACTTTCTTTGCATCATTAATTTTTTGGTGCCTTATCTGAGCTAGAAATATTTTATTCTGTTCTATTTTACTATTTGTTATAGTGTAGAGAGTTATTGTAGAGGTTAAACTTACAGTACTATGAATTACATTTAATTTGATTTTTACGCATTTTTTCGTAAAATATGTCTATAATCTTTACCATTTTACCATATTTAAATACTGAACTTAAAAATTTTCTTATAAAAAAATAAATTCGACTGTTGTAATAAATTGATTTATCAATATGAAATCTAAATCTACAGAAAACATAAACATGTATACCTGTTGTTGCTGTTGTTGTTGTGTTGTCAGTTCAAACATACCTTTTTTATTTTTAAATGAACAAAAAATTCACTCGCTGCCTATACAAATATTCCGTTGATTAGAACATCTCTACTTATTAAATGAATTGTCTTAATGGAAACAGATATACATAGATAATCCAATACTGGCATGCTTATACAGGGTGCCCTAAAGAAATAGCTTTTGTCTAATGATTTTTCGAAAACTTACTCTCTTGCTTGATATTTTGTGTCGATTAAAACAACACTAAAGAACAGTCTATGAATTAAAAATATATCAAAGTAGTATGCATGTCCTTTATGGAATGTTTCACTGTCTTCAAATTTATTGGTGGCATAAGTTCTAGCAATAATTCCCATTTTTCTAATGCTTTTTTTAGATTTTTACTCAAGTAAGCGTATCGGCTTATACTTCAATAGTGGTAATAAAAATTTTCAATTTTAAAAAATTATCTATGTCATCTTCAATATTAATATGTCGAAAAAGAAAAATATTAGAAAAAAGATGTTGCTTTTGACAAGTGAAGTGCGTGGTGATTAAAATTTTGCAGCTTATACCTAGGGCATCCTGTATTTTATCGCCAGAAAATATGTTTCACATATTATTACGCTGTTGTATGATGAATTAATTCCAAATGACGTATGTTGCATCTCTTTTTGCATAAATCTATTGAAAATGATAAACAAATATTCTAACACATGTTTTGAATAACGTTATATAAAATGGTACGTATCCCTTTTTATCTATAATTAGGAAAATATATTACATAATTACCATTTTTATTTTCTAGCTGTAGCAAAACTTGACAAGGTACCAGGTGTGTATTAAATAAAGAGAATATTTCAGTAAATAGGTTTGGTTATTTTCGGATATACACGGGCGAAGACAACGCAACAATATATAAAAATAATAAATCGGAGTTAAGCCGTGAGTGACTGATGACTCACTTTTGTCAGTGTTGAAATATGAATGCACGCCAATCATACACAAAAATATGTTCTAACAAATGAGATCCACTCCTGACTCGGGTAGTTAACAATGAAAAACCGTCTGTATCTAAAAGCGAATAAGTGTCATAATAGTTTTGTTTAGAAGTTATACATTTAGGAATTGTCCATCTGTTACATTCTCCATAATCTTTTTTTCAAAATATTCGCAGGTTGCCAAGCCGCCTACGGCTCCTAAATATATGTCGGCACGAGTCCAATTTTATCCTCCATTCACTGCAGTTTTAATACTTAACTGCATACCTCTTACTTTCTCGTATAGGATGGTGTAGGCATTCCGAGCGAATATAATTTCCAACTAAATATTACACTTACACTGTAGCTTTGCCTTGCGTGTGTTTTACGGATATTGGTGGGTAATCCATACCTTAAAAATGTATTAGGTTACACAATCCCCCCTAACTTAAAATTGTGCTTTCTAACGTTATTTGGCTTGATTTCATGACAATTTTTTCTTTAAAGGACCCCACAAGGTATTATGAAAATGTGGGCTCTGTCAAATGGACTGAAATTGTGGCAAGTTGTTGGTTTTGTGTTACTGTCTCCATAGTATTTGGGTCCGAAAATGAAGTATTTTCTACTTATAGCGGTCCGAGTTAGTTTTGTGATGATGACTGTAAAGTAGTATGAGTAGAATAATGCAATAAAATCAGTAACCTTTGTGAAACGTCTCTAGAAAAAATTAATCGGATAACCTAAAGCCGTGCAGGATCTTTCACTACTTGACTTTTTGGAGTTACTACACTGGGAAAAATGTAGGTATAATTTATATAAAGTTTTCATTGAGGTGACTGAAAAAAAAAAACTTTTTCTAGCAAATTTATCGATTTACTTGTAGTACTAATAGTAGGTACTTAATAAACAAAGTTAGTGCTTTGTTTATATTCATTGTATTTTTAGCAGTAGTGAATATTTACAAATAAAATCTATTTTTTTAATATCTCACAATTTTTTCAGTGTGCCAATTCATTAACTATAATTTTCCTCCTAATTGATACGTCATCATAAATTGGCCACATTATCAAGATGTTTGTAATTTGCTTACAATAATAATATTGTAACATTATGTCATTATTTTTCATACAAAGTGATGTTTTTCTTTATTTTCAATTTTTCCCAATCTCTAAAAACAATTAATATGTCAGTTCCTATTACATATTTGTCAATGTCAGGTGAACGAAATATGTAATGCAAAAAGGTAAATCACTGGAAGTTGGGATGAGTTTGTACCCCCGCATATGCCGTAAACAGTTATTTGTCTAAACGTTTCCAAAAATGCTACATTGTACTATGCCCCAAGAAATGTTATTTACAGTAAAAGTTTACTTAAGAAAGGTTTACTTCAGTCTTCTGATTTACTGTGAATTATGACACTGGATATCTTCAATATAATATTTAGTTCAGTATTATTTTCTTAATATTGTCCATCGTTTTAGTATTTTATATTTTGTAAAATCACCAATGTATTTTGAAAAATTTGTATTTATGTATTTATTATTATTTTCACAGTAATTTGTATACAAGTTCCAAGTATTTAGTAAAATCATATCATATAATAGTCTTGTTATTTTTAACTGAAAAATTACCAATATTTTTTGTTATGCATAGGTATTTCTAAAACTTTCGAAAAACGCTAAAGAAAAATGTTCAAAATGTTTACTCGTATGTCAGTTTTTATAAAATGATTCTTTTTGTGATTTATAGTAGAACTTTGAATTAATTATTTAAGAAACCGATATAAAATTAAGTATTTGTTTTATTAAAGTGTTATTAACGGAATTTTTGTTAGTTACAAGTTCCTGTCTATAACAAAACCTCTAATAATATACCCATTTTCTCGGTGTGGGATATTAAACAAAAATTAAGTTAATAAAATGATTTCTTTGTTTATTTTGGGGTTATTTAAAATTTATTTTTCTTAGTATCTTAAACACCTGATTAAATAAAATTGTATCTACAAATAAGTATGTAATTGTAGAAAATAATTTTTATTGTTAATCCCAATAGATCATATTTTTTAACTTTTGTTCTATTTTATATATTTCGAAAGACGTGAAATTTTAATTTTAGTAATACAAACCATTTTTATGACATGTTATAATTTTTGACTACATAGAATTAAAAAATAAACAAGAGGTCGTGAATACGTGAATACGTGAATGAATGAATTTGCTTAATCTTTAGCGCTAAAATTGAATTTTATTTGATTTCGAGTCAAATAAAAAATATATAATAATTCACATTCCACAAATATTTTTTTTGTTGGTCGCAATGCCACTGTTACACTCTGTATAAGTAG